GGGTATCGGCTTCAACCACAGGGCTGGGCAGCTTGTTCCCCACCCCCGCCCCCCTCTGTGTACAGAAGCCCGCTGGGTTGAGTGTGCCAGAGCCCCTGGGGGTGGTCAGTGCTCGGCCAGGTCAGGGGGTTGACCTGTGTGTCCAGAGGAGTGGACCGGGCAGCGGGGGCAGGTGTGAGGGTCTCACTGTGCTGTTGTGTTTCAGACGGTGGTCGTGGGCTCCTACCTGGTCGCTCAGGGCTTCTTCAGCGTCTACAGCATGTGTGTGGACACACTCTTCCTCTGCTTCTGTGAGTGGACACGCTGACCGGCCCCTGCAGGACAGGACTGGACACACTGACCGACCCCTGCAGGACCAGGACCAGGACTGGACACACTGACCGGCCCCTGCAGGACAGGACAGGACTGGACACACACACTGACTGACCCCTCCAGGACCAGGACTGGATACACACACACTGACCCCTCCAGGACCAAGACTGGATGCACACTGACTGACTGACCCCTCCAGGACCAGGACTGGACAGCCCTGCTGCAGATACACTGACCGGCCCCTGCAGGACAGGACTGGACACACACTGACTGACCCCTCCAGGACCAGGGCTGGACACACACACTGGCTGACCCCTCCAGGACCAGGGCTGGACACACACTGACTGACTGACCCCTCCAGGACCAGGGCTGGACACGCACACTGACTGACTGACCCCTCCAGGACAGGACTGGAGGGCCCCGCGAGGTGGACGCTGTGTGTTGACGCTGTGTCTCTCTCTCCCAGTGGAGGATCTGGAGAGGAACGATGGCTCGGTCCAGAAGCCCTACTACATGTCCAAGAGCCTGATGAAGATTCTCAACAAGAAGAACAAGCTGCCCAAGGCAGAGAAGAAATAAGAGACTTCCTCTTCCTCCTCCTCTTCCTCACCCCCCACACTGCCTCCCCAGCAGTTTGTCACGTCTGCAATAAAACCCCTCCCTTGCACAGACACCCCGGCTGCTCCTCTCTCTGGGCCTGTCTCACTCTCACCACCTCCTCTCTCTGGGCCTGTCTCCCTCTCCCTCTTGCCACCTCCTCTCTCTGGGCCTGTCTCCCTCTCCCTCTTGCCACCTCCTCTCTC